GGTGGATTGGGTGGTGGTGCAGGCGCAGGAGGAGGGTTTGGAGCTGGAGGAGGTTTTGGAGGTGGTGCAGGTGCTGGTGGCGGGCTAGGTGGAGGATTTGGGGGAGGAGGTGGTGGCGGTTTTGGTGTAGGTGGTGGTGCTGGATTCGGGGGCGGAGCAGGTTTTGGTGTTGGTGGTGGTGATGGTGGTCGTCGCTAATCAACTTATTGACTTGGTTCAGTGAGCTTTAAAGACCTATCATAAATGCATGTATTCACTTTTGCATGTTTTGAGTAAATTGTTGATTGGAATTGGACTAAGCTTAATGCTATATTGCTTGATGCTTGCTACGAATAATTCATTCGTCAGTCGTCACTGGTCACTGTTAGGGTCTAAGAAAGAGCATTTCTCTATCAACTGTCCAGGATTTTGTTTCAAATTGGAATTCATACATCACACTCTCTGTGTGTGTATTAATTCTAAGTATCAATGAAGTTTATTTTAATGTTATCTCTCTCTCTCATCAGCAATTAATACCTGTCTGTAACCAGCTGCTGGAGTCTTTTTCCTTCAGTTTTAATGCACCAACTACTGTATTAATTGCCAAGCTACCTTGTTCTGGGAGGAAGAAGCTCATCTTACTGTGCTTTCATCTATAGAGTGGTGACTGGGAACCCATTCTCTTTTGCATCTTAAATCACATTGATTCAAGTATAGATTGTTACAGCACTGTCCACCATGTGCACATTGTCCAACATGCATCTTAAATCATGCATGTTCAAATTTGGTTTTAATGACATAGCAACCATGAACTCATTGGGTATTCATCTGTCATTCTTTGGTTAGACACCCTGAAACTAACCCCAAATTTTGTCTGCCGAATTCATTTTTTCATCCACTAACTTCCAAGATTCAAACTCAATTCAAAGTATGGAATTTAGATATGTAAATATCTTCACTCTGAGATGGTAGGACTAATAACAGAATTACAGAACTTCAAAGGCTTACCAGAAAAACAGCCCTTGGCATGAATATAGGATGCATGAAGTCTTATTACAAGCTAATTAAGATTTGGTTTATGTGGGTGCATGTATGCGCTTGCTTCTCTACACCTTAATTTAATAATTTCTTTTATCTTCTATCAAGTAAAATGCTCATGCATGAAGCTATTGAGGAAGTGGTTGCACCTTGGCAGTGTGCCTTTGGTTTCAACTTTTGGGTATGCATTACACATCTCCATATCAAACTGGCTGGTTAACTACTGGTAAAACCATTACCCAATGGGCAGATGAGGACCAGATGAACCTTCATCTCCAATTTGCAATTTGCATGGATAGAAGGAAAAAAATGACATTTTCACAGAGAGTTAAGTTGGTGGTTGACTCTAACAGTGCAATTTATCAGCTGGAGAGATTGGAAATTTCCTAATCCATCCTTAAATTGGGCACTGAAATCAATCATTCATAAGTTTGATGAGAGGTCTTATGACCGACTGTAATATTAATGGTGGAGCCTACGACTGTAGGTTCTACTATTAATTAGTGGGTCACCAATTTCTTTCTCAGTTTCCATGGATATGGCTAGCAGTTTTAGATAATATCATTGGGTAAAGCCTTTTATATGTTTGAAACCTGATTTACGGTGATCCCTCATTTCCCTACAGGCCAGTACAAAGCTTTCACTAAGGTTATGTTTGGTTTGAAGGAAAAAATAGGGAAATGAAGAGAAAGGTAGGGAAACTTTTACAAATCTTGTATAGGTTTCCTTACCTTTCCTTTCCTTTCCTTTCCCTACATTTTTCTTCAAACCAAACATAGCCTAAAAGAAGAACACATCTAAGAACTCAGACAGCAAGGTTAAAGCAATTCATGCCATTTCCATGTTTAATTGTTTAGTTCTACCAGATAGTTGCCAGTCGTTGGCACATGGCCGCCGGTGCATAGACAGCCGGTGGCCGGATGACTCATTGCTGGGTTTAATTAGGAGTCTAGCCATATCAGATCGTTTGGACTTGATTCACATGTTCCTACTCCCATGAACAAACAACCTTAACCAGGCTCACCAAAGCAGTATAAGCCAATTTGAACTCTCAAAGTTCAATTAAACTTCAAACTAATCCAGGAATCATAAGCAGATAAACAGCTTGCAACTAAAGAAAACAAGACAACTAAAGAAATTAACCTGGTTTTCCAAATCCAGTTACCTGGTGAGTTTGCGTCCATAAATAGTTCCCAAATCAGTTGATAATTTGATTGGTGCCATCATCAAGGTAGATTGAAATTATGGTTCAAGAAGTGCAATAGCTCGTTGAGTCACATGGTCATTGTTATTAGCCTCATCAGATAGAACTTTTATATACACTACAAATACAAATAACACAAATACAGTTAGAAGTATGGTTTTTGAGTCTTTTGACATTAGGTTTTTGGGCTTAAAATTAAGTGTTTTGAATTTAGATTATGTTTAAAAAACACAGTCACTAAACGCTTAAAACAATTTTTTTTTTGGGAAAATTCCAGATTAGTATCTTGTACTTTGGTCCCTAAACTTTAAAACACGATAATTTAGTATCCGAACTTTCAAAACGTGTCAATCTAGTACCTGCCATTAATCAGCCCGTTAACCAGCTGTTAAGTGCCATTTGAAAAAACACAAATACCCTTAAAGTGTCATCTAATTCTTTTTATCAACCATCCAAACGTTAACAAAAAATGAACAGTCCCAAATCCTTGCCTCTTATGATCAAGACAGTTGGGGTTGCCAGAATGCCCACTGAGACATAATCTCAATTTTTTTGAATAGAAGAGGCAATGATTTGAGATTGTTCATTTTTTATCAACATATGGATGGTTGATAAAGAAAGTTAGATGACACTCAAAGGGCATTTGTGTCTTTTCAAATGTCACTTGTTAACGGATTGGTTAATGTCAGGTACTGTATTGATATATTTAAAAAGTTCAGGTACTGAATTATCACGTTTTAAAGTTCAGGGACCAAAGTGGCATTAGGCCCAAAGTATAGGATACTAATTGAAAAACTTCCTTTTTTTTTTACATTTTTGCTTACCACAGGTCCATGCTCAATAAGAAAAGCCTATCCAAACATAGTCTAATATTTGCTCAGTGGAATATTATTAGGGTGGCAATGGATTTTTGATACTCTCGGTACCTATAAAGAGGGCCTGGGTCTACAAAGATTGGATCCAATCCTAACTGGGTCCATATATTTAAGAGCCACTAGGAATGATCAGTGGGTACCTGTTAAACATTTAAGTAGACGAATCTTTAAATTTATAACTGTATAACAGTTAACTATGTGGTTAGACAAGATCAGAAAGGAAGGTTGGAAGAGCATTTTATAGCATTCAAAATGTTCATCCTAATGACTTTCTATATTTCTTTGTTGATGGCAAGGTTTAAAATATCGATACGCCTGGTACGTCGGTAGAGTCGTATCAGGCAGTATTGATAGATTTTTTATTTATTTATTTTTTATTTTTTTTAAATCTGGTTCAGAGGGGCCGGTTTAAGGTCTGTCCACCCCCTGAACCAGTTGAGACCCCTAAACACCCCCTGTAGGGGCATATTAGGAACCCCCCGGTACGATATGTATCGGCTGATATAGCCCAATATGTATCGATATTTTGAACCTTGGTTGACGAGGCCTATAATAAATTGGTGAATTAACACCCCCAACTGCTTATCAGTGTTTTTGAGTAGGGGCGCAAATAGTTTTGGTCGACCGCACCCAAAATCCGATCCTATTTTTTTGGATTCAGATCCACCTTGTTAGATTTTGGATTGGATAATAGGATCTGATAAAAATCGGATTGAATTCGGATCACCCTATCCAATTTGAAAGAGTTTGATTTTATAAATATGTTTATATTGCATTTTATTTTTGTATCTTTTTATAAAAAACATGTATATAGATGACAGAAATAGTTAGAAAAAAGTATTTATAATTTTTGTTTTTCTTTATATAGACTGTTATATTTTTTCCTTTTAATAATTTATTAAAATTTTTAGAAATTAAATTGGCTCAGATCAAATTTGGACGTCTGACATCCTTAATGGATTCATATTCAATTCGATGTTTGTGAGATCTGATCAGATCTTCAAATTGAATCGAATCTTATTGAATCAAATTCAGATATACCCTGATTCAAATGTGATCTGTTGCATTCCTATTTATGAGTATTTGGTAAAAAAATGCTTCTGTCAAATGGGTTAGTAAAGGTATTTTGAAAATTATGTGGTGGACCAAGACTGGCTATAAGCACCTTTTTCAAAAACCAAAAATTTTGAGCTTATTAAAAAATGGGTCCCCCCCGAAAATTGCTTATTCGGGCTAATTTCTCAAATGCATATATAAATGCTTATCGGTGTGATCTGGTCTAAAATAAGTATTCTGATAAATGCTTAAAAATAAACACTTCCAAAAGGTGGTTTAGTTGTGACACGGACACGGCTAGATACGGTATCAAATATGAAATTTACAAGTGATTAAAGTGAATAATCCGGTGGAGGCACAAGCAGCCAAGCAGCGGATCGAAGGTAGTTCCTCCAAAATATCATTATCACTAGTTCTGTAGTTCACCACCTTTTGGATTTTGAATAAAGCAAACCAAGTAGATAGGCTCACAGCAATTCAGGGACCTATTTTCTGTATCTACAGAATATGGTTCAGTTTGTAAATATTGTGTATAACTTTATTCTGAGGACAAAATAGGGCGACAAGAAAAACCCTATTCAATAAGGGCTCAAATGAAAGATGGAGGAGGTTGATTTTCCAGAAATAAAAAGGTTGATGTTTTATTGGTCTCTTTGTTTTGGTAAACCTTGGTCATGTCATCATGTGTTGGTACCTGTATTTGTTAGAGGCATATATGCGTACCTGTAACTTTCATATACTATAGTAGGATAGTACATGACCTCTAATCCTTTTTCCCATTCTCTACCATCAGGGTAGTAAGATATAAACATGACCAAACATCACTTTTCCCATGGCTGAAAAATATGTTCCAGAGTTTCAACACTTGAACACTATGCTGATTTTTGCATAAAAGTCTAGGAAAATGTTTGTCCCTCATTGTACATTTTTAAACCATAAATAACCAGCATTAAGCAATCAGCTGAAAGGCATTCTAAATGTATTGGGGCTTCATTCCAAATGAATTTGGCAGCTTTGATAAATCCCCTTCTATCCTAAAAATCATCAACATCATCATCCCTGTTTTGTCAATCCCTTCTATCCTAAAAATGCTTTGAAAAACAATAGATGTTTTCATGACTTTTTGTAATTCTAATACTTCTTCTAAACAATTTTCTTCCTTGCCAAATTACTCAGAATCAGCTAATTTGAGGGAAAGGAAAAAGCTGTTTCATTCTGCCACCAGGATCAGGGGGTGCACAGCTATAATATACTATGACATGGCAGCCACATCCCTACCGGTTGGCAAGCTATTATAGTGATCAGACACATGGGCATCTTCTCTTTCTAGATGCGCATCCTTTGCTCTGGAACAAGCATCAGTGGGGATGTTGATGCCTATAAATCCAATAATGATTGCCGCACCTCCAAGGTAGTCCATGAGATGAGGGGCATGGCCCAGAATTGAATCCACCACAGCTGCCAAAGGAACCTGAATTGTGAGACCAGCTGTTGCCACTGTGGTTGTTGTTAGAAGAATAGCCTTCGCCCATAAGTAATCGCTCAGCACATTATCAATTAGACCTGAACATCAATGTAACCGAGCAAAAAGAATCCTAATAAGGACAAAATAAATTTCTTAAAATCCAAGAAATCAATGAGGGTCAAATTTAGTAACTGAAACATTTATCTGGGAAGACAAGATATCAAATCTACAGAGTTAGAGTCCTGAAGGTCTGGTTACTATGTAGTTGATTGAAAAATACCAAAAATAAATAAATATTTGAAATTTTTATAAGTAGTTGCCACATTTAAGACAGGTTCATTAAATTCGCGGTTACAGGACATGATTGTCAATGAACTAATGTATTATATTAACCTTGTATTTTCTTTATGTAAGTTATAACATCATAAGTATACCACATGTGATGAGACCCAAAAATAAAGTTCCTATAGAACTGTATGAATATTTCAGTGTCCCATGTAAACAATTTTTATATTTCCCAGTCTCTCCACGTAAGGTCAGTAGACCTCATGTGGACCCTGTTCTGTTTCCACCCCTTGATCCCCTGTAATGTGTAATATGTAATACCAAAAAAAAGCGAAAAAAAAAGAAGAAAAACAGCAGTCTCTATTGAAGAACAGAAAACCCATATCACCTCTTTCATTTGAGATCCTACTATTAGTGTTTTATTCTACATTCAGGAGCTTATCTATTACCACTCAATTCACGCCTTGTCTGAATTATAAGGAGTCAGCTATATGAATACTGTTCTGCCATTCCACTTTGTTCAGTAGAATATCCAAATATCCACAGAACTCATCTAATTCTAACACCAAAAGTCCATAAAGTTTATCATATAAAATGATAAGATTGGACATTGATAAACATTGCCAGATCAGCTGAGGCTATGAAAGGAAAATACTTGAATAAAGAAGAACCCACCGGTGTGAGCTTATCTTACACTGCCAGTCCTAAACCCAGATAAAGGAGCAGGTGCGTTAGGTTGGCATCCTGAACTAAAACTTTTGCCAAACTCTCATGATATGGATCCTGATTTGTCTTTCTGTGCTTATACTAGGGCATTCTTCAGACGTGCAACACCCTAACCCAAGTGCAGTGTCAAGTGGACAAGGGTTTGCTAAAGAAATTGATAGCTACTATTATGGTATCCTCTTCCTTTTCTGGGTTTGGTTGGAATTTGGGTCTGAGAAGGGCTGTGAGAGATTCCGACCTAGACAGTTTGTCGAGTCTCCTCCTTCTTGATAATGTTTTCTTGGACCCTACTAAGGATGACTCTAGAATCTAGATCCCCACCCTTACTGGTTCTTTCTCCTGTGCCTCTTTCTTTAAAGTGCTAAGCCAGCCCACCAATCCTGTAACCCCCCTTTTCCCTATTAATGAGGTTTGGTGAAGGCCAATTCCTCCTAAGGTTGATAGTTTTTGTTGGGAAGCCTTTTTGGAAAGATTCAATACTGGTGATTTGCTCCAAAAGAAGAGACCCAATACTTGTTTGTCCCCTCATTGGTGTGTTCTTTGTAAAGCTGATGGGGAAACTGGTTTTCATCTTCTGGTGTCTTGCCAATTTGAAAAGTCTATTTGGGAGTGGGCTTTATCTCTTTTTGGGTGTACTTTGATTCCTCAATCAAATTTGCAAGGCCTTTTTGCTCCCTCTTTTTTCAGGTGGTGTATGAAAAGGGGAAGGATTATGTGGAGAGGACTGAGGGCAGCACTATGATGGTCTTTATGGGAAGAAAGAAATTCCAGAATCTTCTCTGATGTAGAGAGAGGTGCTGAAGAGTTGAGGGCCTTGATCCACATAAGGGTTATTCTGTGGTTGAAGTCCCTAGAGCTGTTCACAGAATATACAGTGGATGACTTGCTGAGGAAGTGGGGTGAGATTGCTAGCTGTACCCAGACTAAAGTAGGGATGAGTGTGTCTTGGACTCCCCCACCTGCGGTTTCCATGAAACTAAACTTTGATGAAAGTAGCAAAGGGAACCCCGGACAATCAGGGATTGGGGGTGTCTTTAGGGATGAGAATGGGGTTGTTTCTGCCATGTTTTCAGGCCCAATTGGAGTGGGTGACTCTCTCAGAGCTGAGATCCACGCAGTTATGGAAGGTGTCCAGAAAGCTAGGGAGATGAATATCAGAAAACTCATAATTGAAGGGGACTCGGAGGTGGTGGTTGGGTGGCTGAA